TACTTGTGCCATATAAAAAGTTCACAGCGTCGACTTACAGATATCCAATTTCGGTAACTTCATTTTTCCTGATATCATAAGGTCTCGAATTTCAAAACGCGTCCAATTCGAGTCGCGAATTCGTTTGATTATACAAATGCATCATACGATGAACGTTCGAGAGTTAAATTTCTGCTTTTGTAGCGACCGATGTGTAGAATTCTTATGTTCAATGTTTATAAAAGGCTGTGTGCGCATGTGCTCTCGTTCGGCTTATCACTGCGGCGTCGCGGACTAGACCGCTACGAGCTAGTTCTTAAAATCTATACAGCTACTAGAATTAGAATCCGTCCATAGACAGTTTGGTTGATTTTTAATTTCAAGGCTCGTGCAGGTCATATTGTATTTTGTTGAAATAATGTCTTATTAAAATAAAATAATAACGGAACAAGGAAGAAAACATTGTGCTTTGCTAAAATTTTGTTCAGTGGGTCGCGTTTCCGATCCGGCGGTAGATTCTGCGAAGTACGGCTTTTGTTAGGGTTCGTGTTAGCAGCATCGTCAGGTTTGAGCCCCGTGAGCTCACCTAGTAGGTGTCGGTTCATGGTCTCGAGTCGATCAATTGATAGTATAATTGATAGTAGGTACGTGATATCCACTGTATACATTTTTAACCCATTCATTTCTCTCTGCTGCATATTGACCATCGATGCGATGAGGATGTACATACGTACTATTAAAACATTCTTTGTATATGTATAAATGCATATTTATGGGTACATTTGTTTCACACTACGAGTATAAGCTACATATTGTAATGCAAATTTCAAACATTTCCTTCAGCATGATATATTAAATAAATATGAAACAATACGTTTTTCTTTTTATTATGTTTCAATACTATACCGCCCGTTGTACTTTAAGAACTCAATCACAATAGTTGCATATATGCATATCTAAATATGTAGATATTGCGGTTAATATACTTGATTATTACAACTTGTCTTGGTGTGCGTTGTTTTCTCTGTCTGTAGTGAATCGTAAAAAATAAAAAAGATACATTATAACTCTGTGTAAGCTATTAGAGCCCACGAACAATTAGTAGTGACTATTGACGCAAAAAAATTCCAGTCTTCAATAGAATTATTTGTGCTCTACAATAAATGGACAAGTAATTTAAAGCAATTGGTTGAATTGCCAAATGGTGAGATTTTTAATTTACAAGTGGCCCGGGTCTTTCCCAGAAATATTTATTGAATGTTCACGTGGTATACATTCAATTGAAACAAATGAGGTGTTGATGAACTATTATAAATTCAAATTTTGATCTAGTTTCGGTAGTTTGGTTAAAAAGCAACATCAAGGCACAATCAGAAGTGAAGACAATTTGTCTTAATATCAGTTTGGCTGTATTCAATTGTCGCCTATCGCCNAAAATTTGAATTAGCGCGTAACCGCAACGATGCAACGCAATAACTGCAACACGGTCTTCTTTAAGCGTCCACTCCATATTTAAAAATGAGTAAAATTCTAAAAGTATACACTTTTATTTTCATGAACAATTCGAAATTCGAATTCAATAAACTTTTTTGTGGCCAGCATTCTAAAAGAAAAGTTTTTACTGTGTGACAATACTTATGACCTGACTAGTTACAGTTTGCGAAAATGCCACAGTTAATAGATCTTAATAGAAAACAATGGTGGTAGGACCTCTTGAGAGTCCGCGCGGTTAGGTACCACCACCCTGCTTATTTCTGCCGTGAAGCAGTAATGCGTTTCGGTTTGAAGGGTGGGGCAGCCGTTGTAAATATACCTGAAACCTTAGAACTTATGTCTCAAGGTGCGTGGCGCATTTACGTTGTAGATGTCTATGGGCTCCAGTAATCACTTAACATCAGGTGGGCTGTGAGCTCGTCCACCCATCTAAGCAATAAATAAAAAAAACAAGCACATAGTAAATAACTGCTCTTGAAATCCATTGGAGGGTTGAATCATTTTTTTTTTATTGCCCTTGTAGGCATACGAGCATAAGGCCCACCTGATGGTGAGTGGTTACCGTCGCCCATGGACTTCAGCAATGCCAGGGGCAGTGCCAAGCCGCTGCCTACCGCTTAATACTCTCCACAAGCCTCTTTTAAAGAAGGACATGTCATAGCGCTCAGGAAACACCGTGGAGGGGAGCTCATTCCATAGCCGGATGGTACGTGGCAAAAAAGACCTCTGGAAACGCACTGTCGATGACCGCAGTGGCTCCAGGTAGTATGGATGAACTCTACTCCGGTGGCGGGCGGTGCGATGGTAAAAACGAGATGCCGGTATCATCTCGAACAATTCCTCAGAGCACTCCCCATGGAACATACGGTACAAAATACAGAAGGAACCGAATTCCCTCCGCAGACCCAAAGGTTCCAAACGATCCGTGAGAATGGGATTATCGACGACTCGAACGGCCCTCCTCTGTATGGAGTCAAATGGAAGAAGCTGGTATTTGGGAGCCCCGGCCCACAGATGGGAGCAGTACTCCACGCGAGGCCGGACTTGTGCTTTATAAAGCAAAAGTCTTTGTCCAGGCGTGAAATACCGCTTCGCTCTGTTGAGGACTTCCAGCATTTTTGACGCCAACTTGGCTTTGCCTTCCAAATGACTCCGAAATTGGACATCACTCGAAATGTCGACCCCAAGTATCCCGATACTCGCGGAAGGTTGCAGGGATACTCCTTGGAATTGCGGCGCCATGACAAAGGGGTCCTTCTTCGCAGTAAACGCGCAAACTTGTGTCTTCAACGGGTTGAATTGAACTAAGTTCGATTAACCCCACTCGGAGACTCGCCCCAGAGAGTTCTCCACTTCAGACACAAGTTTAGATCGTCTCTCTTGCACCACGCTCCGAGAAAGACTCCGATGGCCGATATATCGCGCATCCCCCGTGCTGTCATCCGCATAGTAATGCATGCCATCAATAGACAGCATGTCATTGATATACAGGATGAAAAGCGTGGGGGAGAGCACCGAACCTTGTGGAACGCCAGCATTAATGGTCATGGTATCAGAACAGTCACCATATACAACGACCGTGATGCTCCGCCCATGCAAAAGTTAGCGATTATATTTACTCTTTTGAAACCTTTTTTAAAATATTAAACGCCATATATGATTCACAAGTCACGTCAAATGTTCGAGAAATACTAACTTCAATCTCTGATTGTGTACTATTTTTCGAACTGGAAATCGTGTCTGCTTTTCGGCCGGAATGGTAGGACATTGTTCACTATTAACTAGCAGCTTTTACTTGCTGTAACGGTTAAAATTACGCGAGTTTGATTATATTTTCCTTCATCGTGGATGTCGTCCTTGATTTCACTTTAAGCACATAAAAAATGATTTTTTTTTAATTCTTTAATATCGGTTGACGGGATGACGGTAGATGTCTCTTTCACGGTCAACTTTGTATTAACTGACTAGATACAAGAACTCAGGGAAGACTCCATGTTAGTACTGCTACCTGAAGTCACAAACTTATGAATTACGTCCGGATTTAATTTGTATACAGCGGTGATCCTTCATTGTGTAAATTTACTTGCGAATAGGACGTGTTAGGCGTAGTTTGATTGAAAAAAGCTATCATAGCATTCAAATTACGGCATGGTCGAATCAGTCGATAGAATATTCAGCTGTAGACTGCGAATGAACTGTGCGAGCTTGGCATTTCTGAAATCCATCGACAATGACCACTCATCACCAGTCAGCTGTATGCTCGTTGGCCTACTAAGGCAATAAAAAGAACCTTATATTCCATACATAGGATGCTTCAAAATATATATTTTTTGTTTTTTGTTTAATGGGTGGACGAGCTCACAGCCCACCTGGTGTTTAGTGGTTACTGGAGCCCATAGACATCCACAACGTAAATGCGCTACCCACCTTGAGATATAAGTTCTAATATCTCAGTATAGTTACAACGGCTGCCCCAACCTTCAAACCGAAACGCATTACTGCTTCACGGCAGAAATAAACGGGGCGGTGGTATCTACCCGTGCGGACTCACAACAGGTCCTACCACCAGTGATTACGCAAATTATAATTTTGCGGGTTTGATTTTTATTACACGATGTTATTCCTTCACCGTGGAAGTCAATCGTGAACATTTGTCGAGTACGTATTTCATTAGAAAAATTGGTACCCGCCTGAGATTCGAACATCGGTTCATAGCTCAACACGAGTGCACCGGACGTCTTATCCTTTAGGCCACGACGACTTCAAAAATTGAACAAAGCTATCATAGCATTCAAATTACGGTATAGTCGAATCAGTCGATAGAATATTCAGCTGTAGACTGCGAATTAACTGTGCGAGCTTGGAATTTCTGAGATCCATCAGAGACAATGACCACTCATCACCAGTCAGCTGTATGCTCGTCGGCCTACTAAGGCATTAAAAATAACCTTATATTCTATGCATAGGATGTTTCAAAATATGGCGGTACATCAAAATTTAACAACGAAAGCTATTTTTTGAGGGCTAAACACAATACCTATGTGCAGTTTAATTTTGTGTTTACAATTTCCTACAATTCGAAAACCTACTTTAGAATTTATGAGGTCAAATTTAATGTTATTACGGAAAGTATAACGTATAAATGTGTTGAAAAAAACATCTTTATTTAGTTTCGTTTGATGCGTTTAGGTCCTTCTGCATTACATGAGATAGATAATGTACAACTTTCATATTTCAAAATTCTACTGACAAATAAACTTGTTTTGGTTTTGTTTAAAAATATATTTTGAGATTTAAAAACTTTTGTAGAATACTATCTAATTTAACTCTCTGCGTATTATTGTGTTTTTATAATAATCGAATGTTGTATTATTAAATTTAGTTTATTTATTTATATTTCGAAACTTTTTTGTATGTTTGAAACAAAATGTATTAGTAGGAAATATTTCATACACGATTAATTGAAAAAAAACTGATCATACCTATTACAAAATTTAGTTTTAGCGAAAGTAAAAAAAAATCATTACCTGGATCCACAGATGATTTCAAGGGGATTAAGACGACGTTTTTGCACATTTCGTATTTTTAGTGTCAATTGTTATTGCTGCGTGAAGTGGGCTAATTACATTTTTGTTTGAGTGTAGCGTGTGGAGCGCGCGCTCGGCGGCGACTGTAGCCTGTAGCCACGGAAACATATGTACGCAGTACTGTCCGTCAATATTACTTCCCGACTAGCCTGGATGTACACCGAGTGCAAGTTTAATTTAAAAAAAAATTTTTTTTTAATCACTTGCGTTTTCACTAAAAACTAACGATTATTCGAACTTTTATCCGTTTTGACGATTCGGAAGCAGGACTAAACCTAAATACATCTTCCTTTTTTATTGCTTGGGTGGACGAGCTCACAGCTCCCTGGTGTTAAGTGGTTACTGGAGCCCATAGACATTTACGACGTAAATGCGCCACCCACCTTGAGATATAAGTTATAAGGTCTCAGTATAGTTACAACGGCTGCTCCACCCTTCAAACCGAAACGCATTACTGCTTCACGGAATGAAATAGGCGGGGTGGTAGTACCTACCCGTGCGGACTCACAAAAGGTCCTACCACCAATAAAAATCGTGGCCGCTGCAAATTACATACCAGATCCAGACAAACAAACAAAAAACAGTCACCGTTGTCTTAAAAAAGTTATTTCGTATCCTCCCTCTTGGTGCTTTTAGACATTTCAAGTACCGGTCACCGTTCCCGTCGAACGCGTCGAAGGGTTCGTCGTGAAAATTTACCCACAGACACAGCCCACTGAGTGTCTCGACGGATCGTTTCCGTAAGCCGCAATTCCGATATAGTGGTAGATTCAGTGGTAGATTCACGTGGCGAATCACCGCCTCATGCTAGGGCAGGTGTTAACAAAGTCTCCGAGGCTGAGCCTACATTCCATAATCAGGAGGCTACTAGCAATAGGTAGGCAAAAACAAAGTTTTGGAGTAGTTTCTAAGTGCTTTATCTTTATTGAAAACCCTTTCCATGGTTCAGGTTCTTTCCGACGGTATCTTCAAAGGTCTTTTTTCGTAACTTTAAAGCATCAAATATCATTCGACACCAATATGTCTGTATTCAGACTAGATCGGTATTGTGTCGTGTTCTCCTTCTAAATAGCATTTTACTAAAATTAAACTTTTTATATTAGTTATAGTTTATTTAATATTGTTGGTGATAGCACTTATCTGTACGCAATACAAACTTAGAATTTGAGTTGTAGTCGATCTCTCAGGCCGACATTTGTGTTATTATATTATCAAGTTTAGATCTCGTTGTATTCCCACCCTATCGCAGCTGTTGTTATTCTCGCCCCGTTCCCCTTAGGATCACGATTTTTTAACAACCCTTTCCTTGCCGCCATATTGTCTGCAGTGTCTGCTTCCGGTATTGGGAAAGCTGAAATGTCATAAAAACTTTATGCACATTTAGTGCAATTGATTTTGATCGATCAGATTTTTAATGCTTCAGATATGTTGTCGGAATTTAGAATACATAGCAAGTTCATTAAGCATACAATTTTTTGTTGCCTAGTTAGATTTTTAATAGGGTTTTAATCTAGTAAAATTGTGGAAGGTGACCTTATATCTTTTTTTATTCCTACCTATGCTGATAGTCTTGAGAGGCTATATCAGCTTCTCCTTGACGTGTAGGTGAGCTCACGGGGCTCAAACGGGGAGTGTTGCTAGCACTGACCCTAGCAAGACATTTTTACTGGAGTAAGTTCTATCTACTTATATTATAGATATTTGTTATTCGGGGTCTGGGTGAATTCTTTCTTATCTCCTACGTGTGCATTTGGTATCTAAAACAAAGGAGAGGATCCTAGGTTCAGGCCGTTGAATGTGAGACGTTTATTATTATTAATTTGATCTACTGTTTGTTAATAAGGCCATGAAACAATGTTTTGAAAGAGTTATTGCTATGAAACAGTATCATATTCAGAGCGATATGAACCAAAGGCAGAATGTCGTTACGTCCAAATTCGTGGAGGCGTCAATTTTATGCTCAAGTGAGTCACCCTTTATTTAAAAAGCCGCAGCTCGTAATATCCGATGAAAAAGGGTTGTTATATCAAAACGGTTGTTATATGATTTCATTGCCTCGTCTCGTTGCGAGAAGACGATGTCATAAAACATGGCAAACGTGTGTCCGATTACACACAGCGAATGTTCCTGTAGTTGAGCTGTTCTTTAAAAAGGTAAAATACAAATCAGTTACAAATATACTCGTACAATATATTATATTACTCCAATATTATGCTTGTACTCACTTTTATGTACTTGCGACTTGTAACCGAAAATAATCTCAAAAACGACTACTTTACTGAAAGCTTATTCATTTTTTTTTCTTCATTAAATTGTTTTGAGAATAGTTTCATATATTTTTTTGTTTAAAATTTTTCACCAACCAACTATGTCACTTAGAAATTTCGATATATTCTTTTAATTCTATTTATTGATATCGGACTTCCAAATATTTTTTTCTCATCCTTCACTTGTATGCTAGTAGTGCTCTTATGAGGTTGATATAACACAATATTTCATTAATATAGTAAGCCTTAGAAGGCAGATGAGCATAACCCCCACTTTGATTAGTGGTTACCGACGGTGATGGACAGCAACCATGCCAGGGGCATAGCTGAGCCACGGCCAACGGCTTAAGACCCCTTTCAAACCACGTTTCAAAAGACATGTCATAGTGCTAAATAAATACTGTGAAGAGGATTCCGTTTCAAAAGCCAAATAGTACAAAACGACATACCGTACAAAATAAAGTGAGATTCTAACTTCCTATCTATAACTATAATCCCAATGTATAATTCTTGAATAAAATCGCTGACATAACTAGATAGACTGTAGGAAACCGAAAAATGTACTGTAGATTTTACAGAAGTAATTGTGTTACACTGAAAAAGTTCACCTTCTGCTGCCCTTATTAAAATAAATGGTTCTTTAGTTGGAACACAAAAATACCAAAAGGATACTGGATATTAGAAGGAGAAGCTCAAAAAAGTATTTTGTATTTAATTAATGTAAAGTAACCGTAAAAATTTTTTTGTATACACAAATAAATTTGATACAAGAAAAGTCTCAATTAAAAACTTGGAATGGCAATTATTTTTAATCGTGACACAGGCTATAATCGGTAATCGAATTTGGACCGCGCGTTAGAGTACTCAAGCTCCCTAATCATTAGTAACAATAGGCAATCCGTGTATTGTTATTGTGTGTTATTTTTTCAGATTAGATTACTTGAAAACGCATGTTATTCTCGTATAACAATGGAATGCCTGATTAAGAATTATTGATATTTGGTATCAGGATTTTACACATACATACATATGTATGCCGCATATGAACTCGGTTACGCGATGACCTAGAATAGCACTATCTCTTCCTGTAATTCCTGAAGGCAACATAGGTATTCGCCGGATACCGGGTAGTTAGGTTATGATTAGGTTTATATACTTATATACATATTTTTTCTCTACCTGGTTATCCTAAGGGGTTATTCTAGTTACGCGCGGCCGGGCTATATTAATATGCACAAACATTAAGTACCTATCGTTCTCTTCTCTGTTTGTCAACCAATTTAATTTTTTTTCATTTTGTTTATGAGTTTTAAGGACATTAATAATAAAATATTGGAAATACTTTTTCATAATGACAATGAAAAAACTAAAGATAGTCCTAAGGTGATTGATTATGGTTCAATTACATACATAATAATATGTATAAACTATAAGATATGTAAAAATACCAGTAGACGTGGATTGTCATACACGATCTTTGATAAACATTTAATACTAAATGAGCTGTGAACTACAGTCTACCAATAAATACAGAAAAAAACTACTACAGCGCAAATTACGTGGGTTCTACGTATAAACTATACTATCAGAAAATTATACTTATCGATTTAACACAAAGTGCGATACGATGGGCAATGAATAATTTATTGCTTAGATGGGTGGACGAGCTCACAGCCCACCTGGTGTTCAATAGTTACTGGAGCAAATAGACATCTACAAGGTAAATGCGCCACCCACCTTGAGATATAAGTTCTAAGATCTCAAGTATAGTTACAACGGCTACCCCACCCTTCAAACCGAAACGCATTACTGCTTCACGGCAGAAATAGGCATGGTGGTGGTACCTACCCGTGCAGACTCACAAGAGGGCCTACCACCAATTTAGAATGGATTGTTAGTGACATTTCTTATCGCTAAAAATATAATTTGCGTATTTACTGGGCGTCTCGTGAGCTTGCATGGGTAGGAGCTACCACTCTGCCTACTTCCGCGTAAAACAGTAATATGCTTTTCCGTTTGATGGCTGGGGCAGACGTTGTACTATACTGCAATACTTAGAGCTCAAGTGTCAAGGTGGTCAGTGGCATTAGCGTTGTTGCTGTCCATGGGTTCCGGTAAGCATTTAACTCCAGGAAAGCCGGGAAGATAGTCCGTCCATCTAAGAAAAAAAATGATAAGTATTCAGGTTCAGGGATGACGTTGAGACTATGTTTGATCATCAACTGTATTGGTAGTATTGGTACTACTATATTGTCTACTTCTCAAGCTGGGGCGCTTCTTTGTCCAAGTAGGAAGTTGTAATTAGAAAGTGAGGTAAAAAAAATACGTGAGATTGACGACTTTGGTCCATTCAATAAGAAATATTTACCGGGTAATACGCAACCCACGGCCCTTTGACTCCTCGGTTACGGCTCTTTCGCAAAATATTAGGCCCCGAATATTACTCCATTATCTTGCCTTGTATGAGACGAGTAAACGTTATTGAAACATAAGGCTATAAAAATATACCTAGCTATTTAAAAAAATGGCTCTTTGAATAAATTTCAATTGTGTGTTATTTATATTTGGCTCTTTTGGTTGACAACGTTTTCGATCATTGTTTTAGATAGTTAACAAAGGATTTTAATGATAACAGTTTTTCTGACTATTAATCGTTTGTTAGTGAGGATTCGCTTTTTATGTATAGTCTAACAGGTAAATTAGGTACTAATTTTTACAATTATAAATTTTGAATTTGAATGTTACGCGCTGGGGTTCGGGATAAATAAAAATTCTACCGAAGTGCAAATTAAAACTCTATTTAACTTAAAACACTTAACGAACACTTTAAATTTCTCA